AAAAGGTGGTTCACCAGAGGCAATCAAATACATAATAATACCAAATGCATATATGTCTGATTTCTGAGTAAATTTGCCAGTACGAAAGACTTCTGGTGCAATAAAGGGTAAAACGCCTCGAATGGTTGATTCACGCGAATTCACCGATTGTGAGAGACCAAGATCGCATATGTATGGGTAACCCCAATTCAGAACAATGTTTCCGGCATGAAGATCACAATGTACAAATCCTGCATTATGGATAATCCACAGATCATTTGCAATGTAAAGCAAACACTGTAATTTCATCTTCCACGTTAAATTGTTGATATTTTGATCCAAATAAGACAAAAGATTACCGTTGTTAGCATATTGCATAACAATCATGTATTCGTTTGTTACTGAGTCTTGTGTGAATCCATAAATTTCAAGGAAATCAGAATCATTGTTATAGCACTTGCCATGATTTCTGAACTATTAAATAAAATAAATACGCCATCAAATTAAATATCACTTTAATTAATATTACATTATTGCTTACCTCGGAAATAAATAATTCCGGTGTTTCGTCAAAAATCTTAAACCGTTTGAGTACAACAGTTCGTGCATTCCCCACTAACTCGCCTTTATATCTGGCAGAATAGACAGTTGCATAACCTCCAAATCCAATTTCCTTAATTTCGTCAAAGTCAATATACGGCATATACTTGACATGTTCATTGGTTTGTATAAATTTGTCCAATACTATATGTATGTTGCTGTTGTGGTAGAACACTAAATAGTATTTGTGAGAAGATGGTTCTTCAGTGATCCCAATTATCCAAATATTATCTGGAGTCAATATTTCGGGGTATTCCTTGGTTAACTGTTTGGGTAAATAAAATACAGTCATTACAACAATAATTGATATTAAACGCACGACACACGTGTGCTGTAAGTTAGTAATATTATTTGCATAGTTATGCATAAAATAATTTACCTGATGAAAGTCAAATAATGGATCATTTTGCTCAACTATCTTTCTGAGTATCACACGTGTCAATTCATTTGCTGTCGGTTCTAACCATTCTGCTATATGCGTGCATCCACGGCGTAATGATGTCATCTCTTGTACGGTTGATAATAAAGAATATTCGATCCATCGTATATAAGCATCATATTCCCTTGTCATATTTCTCCACGACTCCATAATAAATGAGTCCAATAATTTGTTGCCCGTAGTCCAATCAAGAGGTTGTGGTGCTTTACACTCATAACAGAATGCATTAATCGTAGGTTCTAATCGACGTGTACACGCCAGACATAATCCAACCTCACGTTTTATCAGACAATACTCTTGTTTATGTGTATCATATGCGAATCCGATGGTAACCCAAACATCCGTGGTAAGAATATCTGGATGCTTATCACATAACTAGTGGAGATAATAAGTCAATAATTATTTAAACTATTCAATAAACATGACGCATTAAATAGTTTACCTCGGCATAATATAAATCATGTGTCTTGTCTGTTATCTCAAGTGGGATCAATTTAACATATATATGATAAAGAGTAGGTAGACCATACAACTTTGTACAATCTCCCCAATCATCAATACAAGCAAACGGAAACCATTCCAAATGGGCATGATTTGGTGAGTTTGTTTGTAATTGAGATTTTTTAATAAACTCATCGAGTTGCTTATTGTTGCTAGTCCATCCATCGGATAATTGTTTATGCCCGCAAATGCACCACACGGGACTACACCGGAGTATTCCACATGCAGTGCAGAAGCCATATCGAGAATAACAATCGTAAAACTTTCTATCGGCGACCATGTAATAGTTGTTATCATACTTGATAAACCCCTTTATTAGTTTGTTGCGATGATTAAGCCATTTGGTATATCTTCTGAACTGATTAGCGTCATTGTGCTTGTGTATTGAAAGTGAGTATATTCTGGCAAATGTACTCACGGAGGTTGGTGTACATTCTTCGCTACTTCCGACTAATTTCAACATTATCTTGACTTCATTAACTCTACCATAATTATGAATAGCGTAATAGACGCTGTCAATTTGACTTGACTCTATGTTGGTAATTTGCGAGTAAGGAATCCATTCAAGAGGCTTTTTACTAGTTGCGATCAAGTTGTCAATTACTGGATGTTGAATGTCCTTAATTAACGACATGGTTTGAATAAAAAACTTTTTCACGAAGAGAGAGATCATTCTCAACAATTATTGTGTTACCTCGCACAGTCACTTTCAAAGGTATGCGTACAGTGAAGATTCCTCAGAATAGCCAACTGATATGTACAAACGTTAAACTGGCAATGGACACTGTATAAACTATAGCAATTAATTGGAAAAGGACAAGCTCGAGTTAAAATTTTATGAACTTACTATTATATTACAGTCCGAGATTGCGCAATTCGTTCTCGCAGACCCGCATCGTAACTATGGAAAAAAAATCTGCGCTTTGTATATAAGCGTAAGTTTCATATTCTCCTAAAATCAGCAATACGTAAATTGAGGGTGCTCTCATCAGTTACCTCCCCTATCAGATTTGGCAATTGAAGTTACTATTAGCAATCACTGTAGGGTAGAGGGGAGGACCATAAACAGTAATTGACAGCAATTGTATTATTGTCTCCATTCTATGACATGTATAACTAATTTATCAAACAATAAAAGAAATATTTCCACCTTATTTGGCAAGAGCTTATAAGCACCACCGACCCTTTAAGTTACCTACCTGCCAAATTTGTCAGGGGAGGTAAGCTGATGAGAGCACCTTGAATTCAATTAGTGATAACAGTAAACTTGTTGTGAAACCGTGCCAGTTTTCCTGAAAAGGTGCTCGCTAAGTCCAGTTAAAGCTGTTCTCATACTTGCAAAAGATAGGAATAACAGCCATATAAGGTGTAGGTAGAAACTACTGTGCGGAACCTTTTATATTACTTTCACAAAATTCTGACAAATTCCCAAATACTTACGCTTGACAATTACATCAAAGTTTTTTTCTTTTTCTACATGCCAACTCTACAAGCTTTTGGATCTATTCAAATTAATCTCGGCTGTAATCTCCATCTACGCTATAAACGGTGACGTATTCTCTCCTAAATTTCTGCATTACTCCGACGGCGCAGTAACACTAGCGCATGGTACTCACAGTTTCCGTTCTCGTTACAGAAAATCATATTGTGGTACACAAAATAACTAATTTAGATCAAGGTAACTCTGGTCAATTTCCGCTTAACCCCCTAGCTTCAATACAACGCATAAATATTTATTGCATAAGACTTTACAGTTCTAAAAATGAATTTTTCGCACGTTCTAGTAGATTATTCATCATCAATGCATCATTTATTGCTTCGTCTACATTGCTCAAATCATCATAGGTTGCGTTTTCACTATTTTCGTCGATAAATCTGATTCCTTCGTCATACTTGTTATCAATGCATCAACGTTTTTCTTAATCTCATCCTGAAGGTATTCTAAGTATATAGAACATTTGAATTGACATCGTTGCAGGCAATGACTATGATAAGCATGCCCGCATGCCAGAACGATGCCATTGCTTACATCGCTCATCTGATCGCAATATATGAAATCACATATAATAGACGTATCAGGTTTTCTGGAAGTAACAAAACCCCGAGGAAGATACCGATCTGTTATTTTGTAACCTAGAGAAGGCAGTTCATATGAGTTAATACAATCGGAAGACGTTTCAATAATCAACGGATACTGATGGCGTGTTTGATATATCTTCCCCAAAAGCCAATCCCTCGTTACTTGTTCCTATTACTGAATCTAGATAATACGTAAAAGCCAGTTAATCTTTGTATTGTTCAATGAAGCAAGTAAGTAACAAATGAAAACCATTATTTCTCCATACGACCCATTGTCTGTTTGCGTTCGAATGGTCGAGCGAGTAAAGAAGTCTTTTAAATCCGGTTCACTCGCTTCTAGTAAAGTTCGCATTTCGTCAAAAGTGTAAATGGGTCCTTCGTTCTTCACACATTCCCTTTCATAAAGAATTTTTGCCATCACTCTTATTGCATCAACAAGTTCGAGCTTTGAAGTTTCCTCTTCCTCATTGGTGACCTTGCTCGTTTAGAACTTCTTCTTAAGGGATTTTCTACAAAATTCATATAACATGCATTGCACAAAACGACTCCTTCCTCCCACATTACCTTGACTAAGCCCTTATTCTCGGCCTCTCTCCATTTCTCACCATTCAACGAACGGAATTTGGTTGATTCAGCGGACTGGCACTCTGTGAATGCTTGTTACCTGACATTTTCGCTAAGTAATATTGGGGATTCACAGAATAATTGTATTCTATGGTGCAAAAGCTTCCAGTTTGTATATTTTACTACGGGGGTTTAAGTACTATAAAATGTATAAAAACCAATTCCAATGAATTGTGTAACAGTTTCCTTATTTGGGGACGGTCCAATGCAGCGGAGATAATATTTACAAACGGCCGAATCCTGTTCGATTATCTTTCACTGGGTAATAAGATTGAAAACTATTAAGGCCGTGCGTAACAGTTTCATATTAAGAAAATCGATACCTTTATAAAAAGCGCTGGACCAAGGGGAAAGTATCGTTATGCATACCATATAATATACAGATGATAAGATCTACGGAAATCGGGTATTAGAAAAGAAGGTTGAAAACAGTTTAGGAAATGAAGTGACGAAATTTAGAATAGGAAAAGTACGCCATAAGCGTGCACCAGGAGACAGCGATGGATGAAACGTACTTGGCATTAAAGAAGTGCTGACAGAGCGAATGAAGAATGACGAAATGGTAAAATAGGAAAAGTACGTGCAGACAGTGATGAAACTTAACGTTAATTTCAGAAGACCTCTATTTAATTTGTGCACCATCATAATAATATTACAATGAAGTACTGTAAATCAATAAAAGCACCATTTTTTCATTTCTAACCAGAACGTAGTTCGGTTTCCATTGTCAATTCTATCCCATTCTTGCATATATTATAATAATGATCAACAAGCTCCGCTATCTCTTACTGTTTGTTCTTTTTATTGGTTTTTTTCCAAGCGTTCCGGCTTTTGATAACAGTTCTTCAGCGTACGAAGACACTGATCATCTTCAATTCCTTCAACCTGACTTCGGTAGTCGTAACGGCTTTACGTATCCAGATGGCACAGGGTTGATGCAATTGCAACGTATTAATAATGTTACACTTCTACCTGAAAATAACTTGTATATTCGTCTGCTACATCCAAATGGCACGTTGACGAAATTTACTGTACCAACATACAACACTATAAACCAACCGCATGCTTTCCCGCTCAATGACGGATATGTGTTAGTAACGCAGAAAAAAGACGACCAAATTGTACGTGGAAAGTTGGTTGATTGGAATGGCCAGATATTACAAAGGTAAGTTACTTAGAGCAAGAGCATTGTCTAAAGAGTGAGGTAGTGAGAGATGATGAGGGAGATTGGTGGATCGATTGAAACCTCTGTGTTGTATTAATGTATTTTGTATTACTGGATAGCGATGTGATGCTTACCGATGGTCTTACCAACAACACTGAAGCACTCGTAAAAGCCACAGATAAAGATTTTCTTGTAACAGTAATGGACTTTTCTGGTGAACTTCAGTGGAAAATTTTTAGCGCATTGTGAGTATAAACATTTTTTGGCAATTATAAAAGCATAATCAAATCACCCTATATTTATCATTTCCTCCTCTTATTTCTTAAATAGCAATAGCACGGGTCAAATAACTGAATTGTACAAAGGCAGTATCACGGGATATGATAACAACTCCCTGGCGGACTACTCAATTTTTTCCACCACGGAAGGCAGTTATGGCATAGCCACTTTAGAAATCGTAAAACCCGAAAAAAAAATCGAAAAAAATCCGAAATTTATCCACTCTTCTCCACAATCGTTTTTATATGTTAGGTTCTGGCAACCTGATACTTTACAATTCGACACGCCTCATTTAGTCTGGCAGGACCCCAACGTATCCGCGTTTATGAAAGTAGATGGGTGCGAATTGGCTGCTGAGGGAACAGGATACTCTTGTATCATAAGCGTTTCTGCTGATACTACCGGTTTTAATTATGATCATCTGAGGGTGGCATTCCTATCTAGTGGTTCTGTAACTGATGTCAATGTGATATTGACTGATGTAGGGAAAGCTCGAAAGTATATAGCTGGAATACGGCCGTTGCCTTATGGCGGCTTTTTGTTTCTAGAATGGATCTTAAACACAACTGATAGTAGTGATACATATATTGGAACTGTCAAGGCTAGTAATGGGACGACTGTAACCACTTTTCCATTCGGTCCAGATACTAATCTTGGTGATGTTGCCGTATTTCCGAATAACACAATGTGGGCGGGAGCGGTGGGGGGGTCAGAGCTACTCTTGGGCTATCTACCGCTTCCCAAACTATTGCCAGAAGGTGAGTAATTTATAATTCATACTAATACATATAATTATTGATCACATGCATTTTTCATTATTCCTGACATTTCAATAATCGCCACACTCCTACCTTCAGATGCTGGATTCAACAACCTTCTCGTAAAATCATCAATTCCACAATCAGGCTCATCTGTGTCTTTAGATACTACGAACATTACACTGATATTCAGGGATCAGGTCGCTCTCTCGACACAAAACATTTCAATTTACCAAGCGACAGACGGAAAGCCTATTCTCAGGCAGGGTTTTGATGCAAAATCTGGTTTCTGTTCTGTTACATTAAACGATTCAGCTGTAACATGCAAAATATTCAAGAGTACTTTCAACAAACCTGATGCTACATATGATGTCATTGTGGATAGCAATTTTGTAATAAGTAAAAGTTTGAAACAACCGCTTACCGGAGTGACGAAGGGAAATTGGGTGTACTATGGAGGTGTGCATTACAAATATAAAATAATTGGTGTTCTCTTAATTGTTGAATATTCGTTTTCTTACCATAATTGTGTATTTACTAGCCTCAACTGAAGCTAAAGGAAAATATACAGGTAAAACATCACCTTTGTTTATAAATACTTATGTACACCTGACTAATAATTGTGTTTCCTCTAACGAACGTAAATAGAGACCACGACAGGTCTTCTAAGGTTGACACCTGAAGGGACGGCTTTATTTAAACAATCATCTACTGATGATAAGAACACTTTCCTAGACTCCATGATTGCAAAGCTTGCTGAGCTCATTCCTATTGATTCATCGCGTATAACCACTAGCAGACGCAATCAACCTGACCCTAATGCATCAGATCAGATATTGTTTCAAGTCACTTTCAAGCCAACTGAGGATCTGTCACAGAAAACAGGACAGCAGATTATTGATGATCTTGATGATTTAATTCGGAATAAAGCTTATAATTCGTTTTCACAGGAGCACCCTACTATTTATCTTGATGAAACTTATGGGTTTTCACCTATTGGTATGCAATTATGCAGTTTAAGCTATGTCACTATTGCATGGAATGCTATAATGAATGAACTAATACAATTTATGAAACTTGTCTATATCTAGCCAATTTATGGGAAACTTACAAATTTAAATTAATTGGGTTGGTTGCTGCTCTCTTGATATTATCAATAATATACTTTTTTGCAAGACGGAAGTATCCAGAGGTAAGATGTCCTTGCCTGCATTCAATGTTGCTGTTTGTTATATGATGGCTATTAACACATGAAACCGTTTTCATTCAGGGCCACAACTTTGTTGTCATAAAGCTTGCACTAATACTTATAGATCTGAGTCTTGATATAGCATTTGTACTCTCAAGTGCAAGGAATGTCCCACAAATATATACACCAAGGTATTTCCATCCATGATATTTTACACTTTTGCATGCATGGTATACAGTTATCAAACTATATTTTAATTTGTTATTTACACAATTTGTTCTATTTTCAGTATAGTGTTCTTAATAGTTCCTATTGTCTTCAATTCTGTTCTGGCATTCTCAATTTTAATGACAGAACTAAGTAAAAATACTAAGTTTCAAGAATGGTTCAGTGAGAATGTAAAAATAGCTTCAGTGTTTACTCTGCTAGCAAGTGCTGATGTTGAAGCTATCATGTTTCTTGAATCCAAATTTGCTGGTTGCCAGATGTTCTCTGCACCTCTGTCAAAGACAGCACTGAATTACGTTTTCTGGGGCAGCACATTGAATCTGTTTATTGAAGATATTCCCCAATTGGTTATTCAGGTATGTGAAGAAGATACTGGTTTAATCAAATGATACAAGTTTTAGATGCTGATAATTTAATTTGCTGTCATTTCATAGATTCTGTATAGACATCTAACAGTCTCATATGATATTATTCCATTCTTGTCATTGATAATGAGCTCTATCATCTTGACTTCTAATATTATTGGACGTGCCTATGATGGATATATTAATATAAAATGCAAAGAAAAGAGACTCAGCCGCCATGCCATACCAAACAATGAAATATGAGTAAACACTCATCACACACTTATGTTCAGAAGCCTTAATGTAATATAGGTTGAAGGCGCACCACAATCATATGTTTTTAATGATGAAGAATGTATAAAAAATATTAATATAGCGATATTTCAGGAAAATAGATTACCTCAATATAAAATTGAATAAAACATTTACACAGTCAGCCTCGATAAGCCGGCCAGCAGTAGCTGGGCTCTGATGGCCGGTTTATCGGAACAATTCCTGTAGACTAGAGAATCAACTTGCTTTTTTCTTAATCGTGTGCTCTAATGACATGATACACGTACTGCTCTAATCGTATTATCTAATGATGATACTGCTCTGGTCATATAATTATAATGCAGTGATATGTTTCAACGACATATCTTGGATTAATCGTATGATTGTAGTGCTTTGGTAATACTCTCTAATATCCACCCCGTTAATATCAACCTCTCTATTACAGTGGTTACAGAACGGATATATAAATTCCCCCGCATATATCACAACATCTAAGTTCAGCGAACCATCTTTCTCCTTTTTTCTCCTCAACCTTTTGAAATTAGTAATAGTTTATAACCAGCTGGAGAGTAGTGATCCAAAGATTCAAGTCGTCCATTGGTGGTAGTAATGGTGGCAGTAGTGAGTAATAGTAGTGTGAGTAGCAGTAATTATTCACAGACCTAAACACTATTTACGTTGTGAACAACCGAACACGAAATTATTGTTTTAGATCTCCATTGAGAGCATTCACGGTTAAATTCCATCACTGACTGGCAACTTGCCAGTTGCTACAAAAGGACATCGTGAATGCCAATTGTCATGCTCTTGATGCATCCCTCGCGTAGAAACTTATGTATTAAGGCTAAGAAATCTCACGAGAGAAAGAAGAAAACATCCGTATTTATTTCAGCGAATTCATTGTAAAACGTGGTTTGAAAAGACTTAGCCCATGCTCGACAAACTATTCATTCAAATTCAATGAATTGAATGGTTGTATTAATCAAACACACAAAACATCTCGGTTGATTCAAATGACCCGGCTCTATAGAAGGTTACCACGTATGGTAGGATAAGGTCGTCCCACTCTATAGGGGTGGTGATTACGGACTAGTTTTGTTATATAGCATTTTCGACTAATTGCATACGATTAAAGGCGAAGCCGGAGTTCGATTGTAAGCTTGCGGGCGGATTATTGGGAAGCATATCGTTTGACCTATACCCAGGAGTATTGAGGATGACTGATTCAAAAGGAAAATTAGCAAGTTAAAAAACTAATACTGTAAAAAAGTTATAATAAATAAATGGTAAATATTCATTAAGGTAAGATCTTTGCATACCCTGGGCAACATCATTTTTTGATAAGAGCCTTCACCTCTTCGCTGAACTCGTTCTGGCAGGTCATTTTCTTTCTCGGAAGGAACGTTTTCTAGATCTAGACGAAATGTATCGTTGTTAGAAGACGTATAAACTGTTTTTTCCTTGCAAGTTTTAAGGGTCGCAACTACGGTATACCTGTATGTTAAAATAATTAATAACGAGAATTAAAGTGGCCTGCAGCAAGTGCCAAATACGAATAAGGATAAAGAGATTGTGAATAGTAAGAGAAATGTAAACAACATGTTCTTCTTGAGAGGATAATATCGAGTAAAATATATTGAAGAGCTGTTGCGAATAGATTTTTTTATAATTTCGCGTTGTAATATATCATCATGATTACCAATAGCACTTACCCGCGCCAAAAACGAAAATAAATAATTACGTTCTTCTGGCTTATTCCCTGAAAAATTTTGTTAAGCAAAAATAAAGTACAAGGCAGCCCCGTCAGTCCGAAGATGCTTATTGGTGTTATCGGGGGTTTTCAGACTGGCGGGCTCTATAAACTAAAGGACATACAGTATTCAGGGAAAACTATACATTCAGCCTAATTGGGTAATAGTAAATACTCGGTTGAGACTATTGAAACCAGCAATGATCATGGCTCTCCAGAGATTCAAGATATAAAGTATCCTGTTCTGCAAAAAAAATCGAATCCAGTGATAATGTAACGCACGCTTATTCGCAAGTGATAATGTTTCTCAACCCAGTAAACCTTGCAATGAGCTCAACAGATATCAAGCGGGAAAAACGTATCCGACGTATATCATTTGCGTCACCATATAATCCCGGGTTTATACATATATATATAGGCACTCTCGATAATAATAATTAATGCATAACATTTCAATTTGATGTTTTAGGTCATTCATTCTCGCAATACATAGTAAATTACGTAGAAATTAAACTAATAACTCATACCGTATTTCTATTATTCTTGTAAATATTTTTGCAACAGAGAAATGAAATTATGGTTAAATGTGACATTTATTGTTTTTCGCTCTGCGGATTAAACCGTTTAAATGGCTGCAACAGCCGTACTCCATTGGGCATGATCAAATCTCCGGCCTTAACAACTCGCCACGATATCAACAAAAACAAAAGAACCAAAAAGCAAAAATTGGCTCCGAGGTATCCATCGTTGACAAATTAGACATGCATAACAATAAACTTTATGTAGAGTTCCATAACCTTAACTTTCTTTCCCTCAACACCTCCACTCAAATTACATCACCAACCAAATATCCTGTGACTATTCGACCCAACCCCCTTTATCGGAAATAAGGTACTCATGTACAGTAGAAAGCGAATCAAGACTCGCTAAAACTATTAAGCAGGAAAAGCTTCAGAAAAGGCAATAACGTTTGAATCAATCGTCAATTTATTACTAACTAGTCAATAAATAAATATAACACTTTGTACAAACATTATTACACAATTATAAATCACATTGGCACAAGGCTTGTCAAAGGAATCCACGTTATAACATTAACAAAGGGCGAAGCCGCAAACAATTCTGACCTAGTTATTAATTTGAATTCAAAAAGATTATAAAAGCACTGGCCATTCCTTGGGAGGTAGGGCGGGAGAGGACATGCCAGTCGTTATGCATTACCGTTATGCATTATGAATATAGTATATAGATAAAAACGGTCGGATAAGATCTACATTAAAATTACGGAAAATGGGTATTTGAAGGTTAGCGCGAAAGCAATTTAGAAAATGAAGAACTCAAACATCAAATGAAAAGCAAGGAAAACGTAAAAAAGGGAAAGTACGTGCATGAGCCCGCATCAGGAGATAGCGACGAAAATGTACTTTACGTTAATAATAACAACGTTTATTAAACAATTATTAGTGTATTATACTAATACGCATATTGAAACGTGTGTTATAAACTTTTCGTCCGATCCAATAACAAAAGTATTATCAGCAGTCACAGGATTTGTGTTATGAAAACTTATTATTTAATACTGTAGCTAATGCGGCTCGGCTTTAAATCACGAAACTGCCGATTTTTTTAGGCCCACTAACTTACCTTCCCCCCTCCCCCCTATAACTCTATTTTTATGGGCTTTTATTCTCTTCTTCTACATGTAAGTAGATAGATAAAAACAGCTTAAACTGGGCTTTAGCGAGCACCTCGTTGTAAATAAAGGTTCCTCGCGATACTTACTATCAGTTGATTTGACAGTGACTGGCAACAATATATGACGAGGTCTGTTGAGATCACCAATGATCTGAGTGACTGGCACGAGCAGACGCATCAGGATCACGTTGGTGGCGTCTGTTAAGGTCGCACATCAAGATCACGTTGGTGGCGTCTGTTAAGGTCTTGCATCAAGATCACGTTGAGGTCATCAATAATCTGCTGTACCGACCTATCAGGCACGAACAGCATCAGGATCACGTTGGTAGCATCTGTTGAGGTCATCAATGATCTGAGTGACTGCACAAACTACCCCAAGAAAGCCAGAATCGGTTACAGTAACGTGACCATCCGTACGACATCTTCAGCCAGTTATCAGCTTT